ACGAAAATATTCGTACTTATAAACTGCATCTCATATATTTTTTCAGGGTACTTTTTTGGTTGCAGTTGGCCCCACAGAAAGTATTACTTTGTTTCATTAGTCCAACCAGCGAAGAAACTTGTACACCAGGTGGTCTCAAAACTTGGATACTAAACTCTGAATCGATTTCGTACCTTCAAAGGCAATCTACTTTTTCGCGGAATGGAAAGATTACCGGGAAGGGAGGTGTAAAAAATAGCAGAGATAATCGGTGAAGGTGGAGAATATCGGAGTCGTAGAAGATTAGAGGCTCTGTAAACGTTCTCGAGCGTCGAGCGCTTGCGGCGAACGTGGCAAGGGCACTCGAGACACCTCTTACTCCCTCGACACACTTTTATTTTCCAATCCATGCCGATTTAGGTATCGGGAGAAACGAGTGGACTCGCGCGACGACCGGATTGCGGACTAGGTGAACGTGTAATTGTTCGTGCCAACCCGTTGCATCGAGTCGCGTCGACCGCGTTACGTCTGCTTCGTTTCTTGCGCAGCTCTCGATGCGTTGATGTCTCCGGGACGGATCGCAACCTTGAACTGGTTCGGTTTATCGAAACTCGTAACTATACTAAAAACATTTCTATCCCTACCAGAGCTGTTTGCATTTCGCAATGGCGCCGAATTATAGTTAAAAAGAAAAATTTATTTGAAAATATTTTGCATTGCTCGAATAATTCATGGTAAAAGAAGATCAACGTTGATAATTGTTTTCTTATAGTTTACAGAATTTTACACCACTTTGTAGCATGTAGAATATATTCTACTTTGGATGGAAAAATATAAATTCAGAAAGTTAATCCGTGAGCCAACGAAATTGTCCAATAAATATTGTTTAAATGTTTATTTTAAAAACGAATCAAACGGACAGTTTTTACTTTGGATGGAAAAATATAAATTCAGGGTTGCGCCACAGTTTCTCGTTCTAATATTTGAAAATTTTAGAATATTTTAACACTTTGTTCGTACCGTAAAACTTGAAAGTGAGAAAGTGAATCCGCGAGCCAACGAAATTGTCCAATGAATATTAATTAAACGTTTATTTTAAAAACGAACCAAGTGGACAGTTGATTCTTTTTTTTTAATGAAAGTCGAAGTTGGTTATAATTTTCATTACGGATCAGCGGAATAAAACGTAACTCCGATCTCGATGGAAAGCGAGACCCGCGTTTCTCACGTCGAGAGTCGTAGACACGTAAACGCATTAGAGAAATTGTCTAATAAACATAGACGTCAGCGTTGTTAAATGTATATACACATCGGTGCGCGCCGATGAAAGTGGTTTAACGAGTCAGCAGCCATTTCGTGGGTTGAGTACGCACTGCGGATTTTCAGGTGGAAATCGAAACGTGAACTGTACTTGGAAAGCTCTTGCGCGTGAACGTTACATTTTCGGTCAATAAACTTTGAAAAGATTGCTAGAGAGATTGAAAATATCATGCTCTATCACTTAGAGAAAGGATGGATCGTAGTCCATCCATTTTGTGACTAGAACGAGTACTTTGGCAGATGAACAATTAGTAAAAGTTATTGTCGAAAGTGGTTTCCTCGCTTGAAGTAACTAACATACTTTTTTATTTAGAATTCGATACTCTACCATATATTTGTATAAAAAATATACCATTCCATTTAGAAAACTGAAGGTCACTTTCATTTCTCGGAAAATAGTACAAATACGAAAGATCTATGTACCTGGTTACATTGCAAATAAAAAACAGTATAAGTTTGTCCTCTTTCGTTTCTTTTGTCATATGCACCGTTTACGAGAAAAACGCTGGCTAGTAATAGCCTGAACACTCTGTATATATTTCTTTTTTCATGTTACATGTACTTTTCATGTTTCATGTACTTCCTAGTATTTCCTTTCATCTAGTGATCTTCGATTAAACGAAATCAAACTTTCATCGGGAAGTATGCGTTCTCCGATATTGATATTCGACCCTGTCAGATATCGATACCCTGCAGGATATCGACTGAAGCGTTTTTATTCTATTTATTAATTTTATTTTACGGCTTCACCGTGCAGGTTGTTCGCAAAATGAACACGATATGGAAGAAGAACGAAGAGAAACGAAATAAAAGTGGTAATTGACGAGGTGCCGTTAAAGTGCTGTTACAAAAACCTAATTTCAAGTTTAATCACTTTCTTTCTTACGTCGGTCGTGGTTTTTAAGCTTCGAAGCCCAACAAACTGCTAGATACACAGCAAAAAATAAAGGAACAAAAGTTCGAAGAAGCTAGGTGTGGTTATAGCGGTGCGATAAAAACTGGACCACGAGTTTAATCATCTTTCTTCTTACGTCATGCGTATTTTCGATCGTGATTTCTCGGCATCGATAGCCGGTAAACAACGTTAACAGATGATAACGCCCACAAGAACGGACGCAATTACGCGACGCTTGTAACCAGTCGCTGCTAATCGCGAAGCGGTCTTGCAAGCTGACGTGTTTTACCGGATAGGATAATTAGGAACGATCCGAGCTTGGAACATGTTCGCGACGCTCCTTTCCATTATCCAATCAGCCTTCGCCATATAGAAGTAGTCGTCTTCGAGTCTTATTTACAACCTTGCGCGACGAAGAACAGCTCGGGTTTCGCTAGTGAAATTAATCATCCGGCTTCTCCGCTTCCTATGTCCATCGGATTGGCTGCCGTTCATCACCTTTGAAATTCATTTCTGCCTGTTCGAAACCGAAGGTCTCGGTCGATGCGCCGGCAATGAAGTTTTCATCGATGCTTGCGTGCACGATACCCTGTCCTTTCTCTTACGTGGAGGGATACGGGTGTGGAAATCACTTTTGGAATGATGCGAGGTGAAACTTGTATGTACGTATATAAATATTAGGGGTGTGCGAGATCCCGGTCGGGACGGGAATTCCTCCCGGGATCGACATGGAATCCCGAGAACTTCGAAAACCCAAATACATCCGGGATTCCCGTGAATTTCCGGGATCCCGTACATTCGGATTGCTGAAATTTTCAAGAATAACAACACTTTCGGAAATCCCAGATATTATTCTATATCCCGTACATTTTCGAGATCCCGTACATTCTCGGGAATCCCAGATTTTTGCGGGATCTCGCGTATTCTCGGGAATCTCGAATCAAATCGGGATCCCGCATAAACACGAGAATCTCGAATATTTTCAGGAATCCCGCACACCCCTAATAAATATACAATATTATTTGCTTGTTCTATAAATATTGAACGATACAGTATTTTCTTATTATTGTACTGCATTTTTTTTGCGACAGTTAGACATTTACAACTTGTACCGCCGTATTGTAAAAAAATACCGAATTATCAAAGTTCACGTAAAGAAAGGCGCGAGATGATGGATTTTACAGAGATTCAGTGACTAGAATCCGTGATCGATTCTCGGATTAAAACTAGCGTCATCGATGGAAAAGTCCTTGCGAAAATGTCAGACCAAACTTAACTCGTTCGACTCTCACCGTTCTCGCTCATAGCGCGTATGAATCATGCGATTTCTGACATACGCGTAGAAACTTGGCTTCGTTTCTCATCGATTAACCGTTATTATAAACCGACAATGAGAGATTCGTGGAAAACATGTCGACGAGACGTTACTTTAAGGACAATCGAAAACGTTATCGCGTGGAATATAACCGAACTGTTTCCCATCAATTAAATATTATCGACTGCGATCGAAGTCTCCGACGAAGGCCGATTGGTAGCATATACTGCGGTGCATAACTATAGCACTACTGATATTATTAAGATTTTTTCAACTTAAAAGAAAAATTCAAAGAAAGTAGTTGGATAATATGAAAAAGCGATGTAAATAATTAATTTCAGAGGAAATATACTGAAATAGTCTAAGCATATATCGAGATAAAGTCGAAAAACATTATAGAATCGGTGCAAAACTATAGCACCACATTTTTTAGTTAATCGAGGAGAAAGGAAGTCCTACTCATTATTAAATCATTTCCTTTTATTCATTAAAATTATAATTTAATCATTACATTATAAGTTATTATTGTTATTATGTTATAATTCCATTGGTGCTATAGTTGTGCAACCATGAAATATTTATAGTACTATTATTAGTTGCCTTATAAATGTTATGTTCGCCGTTTTATCATTGCTATAATATATTTTTAGCCTCTTTCACATGATACTATTACAAATTAGAAATTATTAATTAAATCTACAAAACGCACGAAAATTGTAGCAGTTATGCAGTGTACAATTGAATTTAATTGAAGTGAAACATACATTTTATTCTTTGACTAGTACTGGGAATAAAAAATATAGGTGCTCTATTCAAAGGAATATTTAATATTTTTGATTTAAATTATCCTAAGCTAAATGTCTGTATTAAATTGTCTCATTCTTTACTTTGAATGAGAATAGATTACTCTGAGTATTATTTTACTACATTACGATATAAGAGAATCGAATATTTTATAGATTGCAAGCAATTTTATATTGCTTTTCTCTATATAAATAATATTGTATTTCATATTTAAATTCCCAAGGACCAAGCTGAAATATTCTACTTGGGTGTCCCGATACGACAAATAATAAAGTTAAGTAATAAATATGACGATGAATGGAACTCTACAGGGAGAAAGTAAAAACTTGAATGTAAAATACTGCTACTATTATTAAAGACCCAAGTATTTCAGAATATCTACAATTTTTTATTACCGTTAAAAGTGGCGATTGTGAAAATTTGTGTCGATAATTGAGACATTTACCTTGTTACAACACTTTCAGGATGAACGGTTCAAATGTAACCAACGTACGATTACGATGCAATACGTTTCACAGCTAATACAGAATAAAAATAATAGTAACCTAATTAAAACGTGTGAAAAAATACTTGTCAAATATTCAACGTTCGCTGACACGGACGATCCCACGTTCCTCGTTGTTTTCAGCTTATCTAGGGACAAGCGATTCCCTAGCCGATCTAACGAACATCGTTCTTTTTTTCCAGATGACAATAGCGAGACACAGCGCCACACACGCGGCCCAAATACCCCAGCAAGTCCCTACGTGTGAGTATACAACGACGCTTTCTAATTGTCAGTCGGGACGATAACTAATTAGTGAGGGTCAATTAACCGAGAACCTCTCCTCGAGTGTCTAGGGTCTTCGCGAGCCACGCTGCGAGAAAGAGAATTTCCTCTCCCGTGGAAAACGCTTCCTTGCAGATGAAATACGCGTCGGATAAGATTAAAAAAAAAATATGTGGTTGCCTTCTACGCGAGGCGCGCGCGCACGCGGGCTTTCTAAAGCACAATGAGCGAACCGTCCGCGACGATGACAATGATTCTACGAACAATAACCGGCTTATGAACGAGACTAATTAGACTGGCAGGGAGCGGTCGGTTGATTGATCGGGACGTTCAATTAATTACACTCGGACTAATCACCTGTGTCGTCGGTGAACCGAGCGAATACTCGACCAATTAGAGAGACATCTCAATTCGTGTTTTTTACGTCTAGTCCCTTGGATGCAATCACTCGTTACTGGGAACGATGCCATGGTTCGCATTTATTCGCGAGTCAATTGTCGCGACATGTTTCTTTTTTCTTCCGGAATTACTTTTTTGGTTATTATCAAATTTTTGTTCTTTTTATTATTGACGGTAATATTAATTATAAAAAAATAAATGTCCACATATGTGGCCAAGAGCGCGAAATGGTTAATTGAGAAATTATGAAAGGAAAAACTTTAAGGTATTATTTAATGGAGGATATTAATAAAACTTTACTTGATTGTTCTTTGATTAAATATGAATCGTGTAAGCATACTTCGATTTAAAATCACGACCCCAATTTTATAAAAAACGATATCAAAATAGCGTAATTTTAACACAGACCCAAATGAAACATACAGATTTTCATGTGAATTTTTCAATGTAAATCAAAATGCAATTTACGAATTTGCTGGAAATTTTGTATGTTATGAAAACCGATATTATAAACCATGAAAAAGAAAAATTAAGAATTATTGACCTCGCCGTTAATGAGATATAATTCATTAATATCTGAAACGCATTAACAATCATCATTGTTGCATTTATTATGGACGTGTCAGCATTTATTATGGACGTGTGTGAGTGCAGAAAATAATGTCTGTACTTTCACGAAAGTTTCCAATCATATTTTTGAACGTGACTATTTCGAAACAATTACCTTAAATTTACAATTGTCCCTTTCGTGGGAAGGGACCGGATTTATGAACTGATTTTATATTCTCAATCCTCGATGGGTAATTGTTCTGATCAATTTTTGATTTTTTGAAAGGAACAATGCAACATTATGGATTATACCGTTTATTTTATTTATCGTTGTTGAGATTGACAACGCTAATCATTCTTTTAATCATTACTAATGTACAGTATATCTAAATTATTTTCCCTTTTAATTTCTGTATTACATTCATAATGTTTGCATTATGAATACATGTTCATATTATTGTACACATGTTACACAAAAGATGCAATTTGTAGTCGTTTCGAATCTTCTTATACTTAAAAATAAATCAAACTGTGTTTATCAAATTTGCGCAAAACGTCATTGTCACTTTCATGGGTTGAATTATTGCGAACAAAATCAATTTGAGTTAAATTTGAAAAGGTGTCTTTGGATTGTTGGTGGCAGGCTACAATTTATTGCGATTGTTTATCTTGCAGTCGCAGTATCGCCAATTTAGAGAACTGCACCGCAATAAAGAAGGTCGCCTAAATTCATGTGCTAAATTCATTGTTAAGAACATTACAGAGTTTACGCGAAGAAACGTAGTACGTTGGACTTCTTCCTAGACTTGTAAACGATATAATCTCTTCCTTGATGATAGAGCAGAATCGTTTACAATTCGACCGAATCTATAGTTGTGCCGAACAATATCGACGCTGAATTATCATAACAGCATTCTTAGTTTCCCACGTGCGCGTACTAGAATCAACAGCAACTAGTAAGATTGCATAAAACGTCTTCGCCACCTTCGCACATTGAAAACAAAGAAACTCTTGGTTGACTTGTGACAATAACAGAAGTTTCATACAAAGCGAACGAAGACGATGATGCCTTATCTTTAGTCCATTGAAAAGCGACTACCGTTTCTATGTGGTAGCGTACAATTCATTATAAACTGCTAGACGTACAGTTGCTACATCTCCAATTTAGGAAGTTGCACTGCAACAAAGAAGAATAAATTAGTGTCATTGTTAGGACCATGAGAGGATTAAAACAGTGGAATCGCGGTACGACTTCTTCTTAGGTATCTTAAGGATGTAATCTCTTCCTTGGTGATAAAGTGCAAAATATATTAAAATTACTAAAAATATAGCTGCCATATTTTTACGTATTTAGGAAATCGAACTTGTGGTTGCTCCGAACAAACTTTAACACGTTTACTGCCAAACAGATATTCTTGAAAATTCCTGCTAGGATTAACCCTTTGCACTCGAGAGGTGACTCTCAGTCACCACTAGGTTTCTTTTTTAGGTTTATATCGGCATATATAGGCAGAATCAAGAAAGTACTTGACACATATATTTTATTGGTCAAGATTTGAAGGAAGGATAGAAGAGTCAGGAAAGTTATTGGTCAAAGGATGTTGGAAGGAAATAAAGAACAAATTAGACAAATGGCCCTTTGCACTTGAGAGGTGACTCTCAGTCACTATTAGGTTTCACGCAGCAAATCTATCAGCAATAATGTTTCTTTAGATTTAATTTCTTTGGAACTCGAAGTGCCAATAAAATGATCGTCGGTGAAGCAAAGGCGACCTGATTCTTAAATCTCAAATTAGAGATCTCATTTTCGAAATCAATATAATCTTAGCATTCGTGGCAATAGAATACTATTCTATAATTTCGAGTTGCTGATAGATACCAGAAAAAAAAGCCTCGAGTGCAAAGGGTTAAATATTATCATATTTAGACTATTGGAGACTACATAATCAAACATTTATCGCGGTATATAGTTTTGTAACTTCATCAAAATTCATGATTTTCGTTTAACCCTTTGCGGTCGTATCAAATTTCCGAAGAACGAGCAGCGATACATAATATGCAAACTTAAGAAGATTAATTAATTCTTTAGTAGACTTTAGATATATGTTTACACAATAATGTGTTTTAATGTAACGTTTTTATGTAAAAATTATATTTTATAGTTCTCCATCAAGTGGTATCTTTCGGTAACTTTCTTCTTGCCATTTTGGAGTATGGATTTTGAAATATTTTAAGAAACCAAAATGCCTAATTACACGTAAACACAATTTGTAAAATATTATTTGGAATTCTATCAAGTATTTTCGGCTATTTAGTATTTATTACAATCTGTTACAGAAAAAATAACAATATTCAATATATTTGTCTTTCCATTAATCTATTATTACACTAATATCTTCGAATCTATTACTATTGTCTAATGGCTTAAATCTTTTCAGTTTGCGGAATACAATATAAGATTAGTATGGTTCATTGTTGTGGTGGCAGAGAGCAGACATACGACCGGAACGGTAAAAAAATCTTTGGTAGTTGAGGGTAAACATACAACCACAAAGGGTTAAATTCATTTCCTTTGATACTTGACTTTCGGAATCAATTTGTTTAATTCTTCAGTGAAAAGCACTGTCACCCATATATGGGTGACATGGCGATGAAGGTGTTAAAATGAATCACCGAGATAAAAATTCTGAGATTCGTGTGCAATTGTTATTCGTTGGAATAAAAGGATGAGTCAACGCGTGAGTACCAAATTCGTCTTGGTTTTACGCGTGAAACGATGTAAACAAAGGGTGATCGCGATCGTTGGGAAGTAGGCGAGCACCCTTGGCAGAGAAACGAGTCGAACCGATGGAGATGTTACTCATTGGAAACATTCGCGTCGTCACAATTCCGCGACGATGATCGAAAGAAAGGGAAAAGAATGGTCAAGAAAGAGAGGCTTTCCAGACGAACGACGACCTTCCTTGGAAGACATTGCTTTGCTGGAAGGTGAACGCAACCGTGCGACCTACATTCCCGTATGCCCAACGAGAGCGAAAGAGATACCGAGGAGCAGAGCGAAAGAGGGCGAGAGATGACGATTATAAACGAGAGACGAGCACACGATTTCCTCCTCGACATCGATGCGAATCGAAAGTCCCTCTTTAACCGGTGCGCGGCGCCGTAGGCCGAACACTTTCAGCCTTTTACCTTTTACCATCGAGTTCCAACGGAATTTCACCGTCACGCGGACCTAGCGCGTCGCGAATTCGTTGAAAGACCTTTAGAAACGTCAGTTTCCCGGTGATAGCGTCGTATAAACACGCGAACCGTATCACGTTTGCTAACACGTCGGTCGTAGCTAACCAGGGCAATCGAACTTGACAACGATGCGTAAAAGAAAAGGAATCGATAACGGTTTATAATTCTGCAAATTCAAACTAATGTTCGAACAATGGTTTTATGTAACAGGTATACGCGTAAAATTAAGGGAATCGGTAAAAATTAAGATTCATGTTAATTCGTTATCATATTAGATTGGAGTTAACAATCTGTCTCCAATAATTTGTAACTTGTAACTTGTAATTTGTAATTTGTAATTGTTAGTAATTTGAAATTTTTGATCTTTCAACTGGTGTACGTATGATACTGCTTGTTTGAAGCTGGCAGCTCACTTTGTAGAAGCTCTTAACACTTTCGCTGTGGACGAAAATAAGTAGCCGTTCGCTGGGAGCTGCAATTATGGTATTTTTTTTTAATGAAAAATTTCTTACATTCTTTCTAAAAATTTCTTTCTTGTTCTAATATGATTATTTTTAAAAGCATATATTTATGGTAACTTATATTATATATATATAATATAAGTTAATCAATATATATATATATATATATATATAGTATATATATAATGTAATATATATATGTAGCGAAGCATTCGATCTTCGACAACCGTTGAAATTGATATTTGAGCAATGAAGATAGCGAGCTTATACCAATTAAAGAGAGAAGATCAATCGGTTTAGATTGCAGTTCGGATACCGACAACGATGAAG